GAGTTGCAATTGGACCAAGATTCCAATCATAACCCACTGCCCTTCCCTCAGGCCTCAGTGAAGCCACCTTCTCTGCGTTTGTGGGCTGCTTGGCTCTCCTGAGGGCAAGGAGCAAAGACTTTTTCTGGAAAAAGTTTTTGGTAAAGTCATCCCTGGCCCATAATTTAGTCTGGAAGTTTGAGGACCTGAGGCAGCTCTGAGGTCCAGCAACCATGCATGTAGTGATTCTCATGGGCCCTGAATCACCTTGGCTCATGGCATCTCTGCTTCTTTACATAGCTCTGCTCTGCCCCCATTTTCTCAGAGATATCCCAAGTCTAAATACCAAAATAGAGACAGAATAATTGGATTAATCTTCACCAACACCCCATTAGGCAGAGCCTTTCACACCAGGCATCCCCATCCCATCAGAGATGGTCTCGTCCTCTTCTAGCTTCAACTAGAAGGTGACATGGGGACATAGCTAATATACCATGGCCAATTAGAAAGTGTGTCTATAATGTAGTAGTTATGATGCTGGTGCTGATGCTGATGACAGTGATACTGATAATGATCCATACCATTTACTACGTGTAAAACACATGCCTCTCACCATGCCAAGCCTTTAGCACGCATGTTCTATGGAGCTTGTAAACTGGCTCTGTGCTCAATTCTTAAAAAGTTAGCAAGACAGGCCATAGTACAGAATTTGAACAACTTCTTCAGTCTTTCCAACACATGAAAGTAGACTATTTGGCAGTGTGACTTCTGGCAGATTTTCCTGACCAAAATGACCAAAAGGACAATCTTAGTACCTTCACCCATACCTAACCCAAGATAGGAAGTATAAAAATAGGGCATCTAGGAGTTCATCTCTCCTTTTTTTATGTCACCTTGAGATGCAGTGTGAGGTTAATGGCCAATCTGAGACAGTATGTGGCCCTTTGACAACCGATTGCCCTCCAGCTGCAATTTGGCCCTCCAGATCCATCCTTCAGCTTGATTTCTCCTGTCTTTCTGGAAGAGAGATTCAAACCTTCCAAGAAGGTAGAGAAGCCTCTGCCTTCTGTGATGGAATTGGAGGAGTCAGAAACCCATTTCTTCACCAGGCATTTGTGATTCCCTCCTGAGAGTTTCATTCAGTTGCATTTTGAAGATAGCTGGGCTTCAGGAGCACCATTATTACAGTATGCATAGCCCCTTTTAAAGGGTAACACTTTGGCCTTTTAGCAACCAAACCTTCTGGGGGGAAATGATAGCTAACTGAGAAATGACAGAGAATTGTTTTTATACCACATGTCCACACTCTGTCATGAAGGATTCACAATCATTTGTATTTGTGTCCAAAATAAAGGAAGAAGTCTTCCCAGGACTACTTTTAAAGCTCCTAAATAGGAATGCTGAATCACATCTCACTCCTTCCTCTTTCACATTCCCCACTGGCATTTCCCAGATTTGCCTAATAACAAGAGTGATGCAAGACACCTGTCAAATGTAGAGTTTTAGGCCCTCACTGGACATACCTATTCAGAATTTGTAGATGAGGCCTAGGAATCTGTACATTTATAGCACTTTAAAGGCTTTGATTGTCAGTCAAATTTGGGACACACTATTCTGAAATCACCAATTTCTTTTTTTCTCCCCTCTTTTTCCCTATTAAATCATTTTTAATGCTCTACTGAGACTTGGGCATGGAAGTAGGCTAGGACACCAATAGGAGCATGATCTTTAACAAGCCATTTCCCTTTCCTGGTCCTTACCCCAGTATTCTCATCTGGAAAATGGGATCATTTTACTGGTTCACCTGACAATGAAGTCTACCATTTGCATTTGCTAGCATGGGCTGTGAAAATTAATATCACTATATTTTCCACAAATTTTGAAAGCCTTCTTTAATGAATCACTTTAATTTTCCAGGATAGTCACCAGGGCAAGAGAGAACTAAAGGCTCAAAGTCCCTGTGCATGAGGAGATGATGTCTGTGAATAGACTTGCCATAGAACCTGACACTTAGAACTTTCAGAAAGTGTGGGCATCCTTCCCCTAACTGTATCTTGCCCATAATGCTTTCAGACAGAAACCAATACAGAGGCTTCTGCATCAGCCTTCCGCACGCAGCTCCTGTGATATCTCCTACCCACCCAGAATTCACCAACACACAGGACCAACAGGGATAGACAACATGTGCACAACATTCTCTGATGGCAACTTCAGAGGAAGTCAGCTTCAAAGCCCAGACCCTTTCTAGCACACTGGGTGGCCCCCTAGAAATGGCCATCACTCAATTGAGATATAGTCCTGCTGCTGCCATCTTCCACTTGTGTTGGAACCCTTAGGCTGGGTAGATCTCACCCATGGGATGGAACTTGAGAAAAAGCTAGGGCAATTCTGGCAAGATGACTGACAATCCACCTAACTTTTAAGTTGTTGTCTGCTGGAAGGGAAATCCTCTTTCTGCTTGACCATTGGATGAGCTTCTTAATTCTACCTTCTAGAGAAGAATAATAAGTATAGCTGTTTTACTTTCTAAGTACCTCCATCAGAATCACAAAATTATTTGTTTAGACAATTTAACTTGTATGCTTCCATTCTGGGAAGAACACTTTAAATAAGGGCACTGCATATTGATGGTGGTGTGTTTTGAGCAAACACACACATAATGTGGATAAAACCCAACAGAAGATCAAACAACTCATTGAGGAAGTTAAATTTTGTGTACTCAGATTTCACTAGAAGCTTCAAAAATGAAAGCAAATCTAGTTTCAGTTTCAGTTGCTATTGTTTCCACAACGAACAAGTGTTTTACACTTACCCAATGTGTAATCTGTGTGTGTGTGTCTTATAGAGATATTATATATAACATATAATTATAATATATTATATAAATATAACACATCAATTATTAATTTATATGATTAATGTTTGTTGATATAATTAATATAAATTTTATATATAAAATAATTATATATAATTTTATGTATATATAAATCAGGTTTATTTCAAGAAGTTGGCTTATGTGATTGTGGGGATTGGGAAATCCCAAATCCAGTGGGTTGGAGACTCTTAGACAGGAGCTCACACTACAATCCCCAGATGGAATTTCTTCCTCTTCAGGGAAACCTTAGTTTTGCTGTTAAGGCCTTAAACTAATTGGGACAGGCCCACTCACATTATCAAGAAACATTTCATCTACCTAAAGTCAACTGACTAGAAATGTTAACCATATATACAAAATATCTTCACAGCAACATCTAGATTAATGTTTGATTGAATAACTGGGCACCACAGACTAGCCAAGTTGACATGTAAAACTGACTATATAGAGACAAACCCACTAAATTTTATTGACTGTTTTACAGACTTTTAGAGATTGTGGTGAAGAAGTATGACAATCACTCTCAGTACCACCCTGCACAGAAGACCCCTGTTAAATGCCCAAGGTGTAGTAGGTCAACAAGCATCCACACTGGCCTCTGCCATTCTCTTCTGGCCCTAATCTGGGGACAGGAGCTTATGCTGCCCAAGGCCATGGTCAACAGGGCCAAGCCCATGTTGCACTGTGGTAGTGGGATCAACTATCTTGGTTTCTCAGTTTTAGCACTGAAAGCTTTGCATCTCAGGAAACATTCAGTCCCAAGCAAAAGGGATGATTGGACCACCTACTCTGTTGGCCTCTCCAGGCCGTCCCCAAACTCCAGACTCTGACTTCGAGGTCTCCAGAGGTCTTTCCACCTTCCTGGGTTCCCACTGGGCAGATCAAGGGCTCCGCATTGCTGTCTTTGCCCCATGGTACAGTGCCCAGGCCTCTGGGGACTACCTTTCGCTGCCTATCCTATTGGTTCACTCAACCAGAGCCTCCCTTAGGCAGGCCACCTGCAAACACTGTCTGCAGACATGCTGTGGACACATGTTCTGCCCTGGGACTTTCAGGCATAGTTTGTGACCTCCAAAGCCAGGCTCTTGGAACTTGAAAATCCTGTTTTCACTCACAAAGTCTGACTTTTGCTGTCATTGCTATCATTCCCTACCACCACTATTGTCTCTGCTGGGAGTTTAAACTTTTTAATTTAATAAAAGCAGATACTATTTATTGAGTATCTGCTCACCATACATTGTTCCAGTATTTTACACCTATTAATTTACTTGATCCTTATGACCTCATAGGGTGTCATTACTGGTACCTCATTTTAGAATGGAACCTGAAGTACAGAGAAACTAAATAACTTGTGCAAGGTGACACAGCTAGCTGGTACATGTGGAGCCAGGGTTAAATTGTGGCAGACTGTGCACCAGAGCCCTGTTCTGAAATGATTTTTTGCATTTATTAGTAAATTCATTGTCTTTGCTCAGCCTGAGGAGAAAGGTGTAGGAGAGGGTTAGAAAGTCATGGGAAATAAGTTTAGGTCTGTATCCCAATTTTATCCCAAGAAGAACAAAGTGGCATACGTAAGATGCTAGAGTGCAACATCATAACTATGGTGACATCCTAGTGAAATGGTGGAGGGAATTAAAAAAGGCCAATCGCAGAGGGTCCATCCCATCAATTCAGCCTGAGATCAGCTCTGTGTAGAAGGGCAGGGTGGGGCACCACCGTGGGTGGGGATGCAGACCAGAGCTCCACGGCTGGGACCGATTGCTGACTGCCTGTAGTGGGTGCCCTGCCTACTCAGTGCCCTCCTCCCTTGCCTCCAGAATGGCTCTGGCCCTTCTTCTCCACTCCAGGGGCCTTCCTGCCTCCTCCCGTGCAGCCTGCTAAGCCTCTTCTTGCCCTACTTCTAAGGGTGCTCTGCTCCACCCCCCAATGCCAGGGGTCTTCTCCCTCTCCCTCCTGCTGCACCCCCTAGTACTACTCAGCCCACTCCCTCCGACCCCTCCACCTTCTTGGGGTCTCTCCACTACCAGGCCTTACTTGGCCCCCCAACCCTAAGGTGTCCCCAACAAGCAGAGCCTGCCAATGCCCTGCCCTGCCAGGTCTCCTCAAGCCTTCAGCAGCCTTCAAAGTCTCATCCACCTCCCCGCAGGGCCTGCCCAGCCCCCTCTTGCGCTGCCCTTCGCAGCGACTTCTGGACCGTGTGGTTCGGCGCTATGCTGAGGTGGCTGACGCTGGCAGCATTTTCATGGACCACTTCACGGACCGCGACAAGTTGCGCCTGCTCTACACATTGGCTGTCAACGCGCATCCCATCCTCCTACAGGTACGCAGCAACCCCGAAAAGCCACTCCCAGAAGGAGGCTCACATCGGACTCCTAGGAAGACAACCCTGGGTTGAGCTCTCTCCCCCTTTATTGCATGCCTTGGGATAACCAGCCCATAATACCTTTATGGTTTTCAGTAAATATTCATTGGCTTCTGCAGGGAGAAAGTGCTGTGTTTGCTGTAAAGGAAAGAGGTATAGGAATTGGGATGGGTGGGGGATAACAGCTACCTCCACTGTCTGAGGTAGCCCTGAAGGGTTCTGTGAAGGACAGCAACTCTGACCAGTAAGATTTGAGCAATCCCAGGACGTGGGGAAATAGCCAAAGAATGACCCCCAGGAGGAGTGCCCTGTAGGTACATACAATTGGAAAGGAGAAAAAAATGGAAGTAATCTAAATATCTATCAATAGGGGAATGATGAAGAGCAATAGAGTCTAGGGATATACTGGTAAACATGATAGGGAGTGGAGAGAGATTCTGGGCTAGTTCAGTGGTTCCCAAAACTTGTGTCTCCCAAGGAGAGGCATCATGATTTTTGGCCTATCACAGAACTTGGTGCTTGCATTGTTATTTTTTTTTTATTTTTAAAATTTTACTTATTTTTTATTTTTATTTTTTCCATCACTATTTATCCTCCCATACTTTCTACCATCTCCACCCTACCCTCTACATGCACTGTTATTTTTAAAAATATTTTTCTCTAAATGATCCTTAACTTGATCCTCTTCCCCCACCCCCCATGGCCTCTTCCTAAGCAGTGCTATCTGTGAAATCTTAAATAGTCCTATTTTTTCAACTATGCAACTATTAAAAATAAACATATTCCCCTGAATCTGAATACCATCTAAAATCCTGGCAAGTGCCTTAGCATTTTCATAGCTTGCATTTTCCTACCTAGCTTGGGGACACTGTTAAAATGTAATCCACATCATAGAAATGAGAGCTTCCTTTTCCAAATCTATTCATCTAAAACAAGCATAGAAAGAGGGGAGGAATGGGGTGGGGATGTTGTCTCTTTCCAAGAGACTGAGGGGCAGGGGCAGAGGCAGAGACAGAGAAAGGGAAGGAAAAACAGAACGCTGTTTCTGTGAATTTTTTTCTCCAGTCTTCTAATGCCTCCTCTTCCTCCTGGCTTGGCAGATTTTTCCTGGAGCTGAAGGATGGCCACTGCCTAAGTACCTGGGTTCCTGTGGACGATTCCTGGTCAGCACCAGCACTAGCCTACTGCAGGAATTCTATGGTGCACCCCCAGACCAGGCAGCTGACCTGGCCTACCAGCTCCTCAAGGTCCTGGAGTCTCTGAGGAACAACGATCTGAATTATTTCCTCTACTTCACCCATGTGGATGCTGCCATGTTTGGCATCTTTAATAATGGGCATCTGTTCATCCGGGATGCCAGTGCCCTGGGTGTCATCGACAAGCAGGAAGGTACTCAGCATGGGCCTGGCTGAGCAGCTGTCAGAAGGGAAGTCAAAGTGATAGTATCTTGAAAGGGTGCCTAGAGATAGCACCATTAGGCCTTTCCAGTCTCCATATATTGGAGAGAGAGCAGCCCAAATTCAGGTCAAATGTCCCTCTTCCCCTTTAGGATTTATGCTCTAACTCTATTTCCAAAGGGGAACTGGCCTTCACTTTGTCCATGGGGGACATCATGCATTTGCATCATGGCATGGCCCCAAGAGCAATGCTGTTGTCCAATTTAGTCTCTGTGGCCCATGAACCTGCCCTGCCCTTCCTTACACACACACTGCTCCTCAATCCATCTCCCTCTCATCACCTTTCTCACCAGATGCTTTTAGCCTTTATCTGAAAATTACCTGGATGATTCACTTGTATATTTTGCACCATTTTGGCACCTTTGCTTTTTATAAAGTTTCCAATTAGAAAGCATGGCACCACATGAGGTATACAACTGAATCATGTTTTTCATGATGTGTACAGACTCACAAGGGTTTCTGGAGCCCTTTGAGCATCCCAGTCTCTAATGGTGACCAAATGTTATATGCTCAATAATAGGACAGAGGGTGTTTTATATGAGAAGGCCTACAAAGATAGACCTATTAAACCATACTTACTCATTACCTTGTTTGCTTTTATTAGAAGAAATGTGGCTGATTTCAGAATATTTGGGATATGTAAACCACTGAATGTCAGTCCCAAGACAACCCATTGAATGCATATTCTGAATTACCTGTTCTTTCTACCGACTTTGTACTTTTAAAGGGCAAATAATACTGGTTCTAGTAATTTCCTGAGTTCTCTAATTTGGTAGTAAGAATGGGAGAATCACAATACAGAGGTGAGCCTTATAGTTATAAGCCCAACTTCTGGTTGGCATAAGTGAAGCCCAACTTCTGGTAGGGATAAGTGTGTTTTCCATTGCCCATGCCTCAACCTATTGTACCAGTTCCTCCCATGTTGTTTTCAGCAGGAGCCATTGTATTCCTGAGCCCTAAGCCTCCTACTGACAGGATACTAGGAGACTAAGACACTTTGCCCAGCAATTGTAACTAGTGGCATCTCCCCCAAGGAGAGCAGGTTGTAGATTGTATAACATTTCTTGTTTCTCTTCCAGGCAGCCAAACAGCCACCAGGGCAGGAGAGAATAAAGACATCTTTAGCTGCCTGGTTACTGGCTGCAAAGCTGAGCTGCCCTCCTGTGACACCATCCCTGAGAAGCAGAGCCTGGTGCTGGTGTGTCAGCAAGTGCTGCCTCAACTTCTCCAGAGGAAGTTCCCTTCTCCAGTGCAGGAGCAGATAGATGTCCTCCTGGCTAAGTGTGGGGAGGATACTCGCCCAGACCCTGAAGTCCTCAGGGCTGCCAGCCAGCTGAAGGACATCTTGAGACCCCTGAGAACCTGTGACTCCAGATTTGCCTACCGCTACCCAGACTGCAAGTATAACGATAAGTTCTGAAGGGCTGGAGATTGGCTGGCTTCCAGGACAACATCCTTGGCTCTCCATTTCCCAGCTTGGTCGTTGCAAGGTTGAAAGAAGATGTTTTAGACATTAGGAGAAATGCACATTCATTTACCAGGGACTAAGGAACATTCCAATGACTGGAGGGTCATTGTGTGACACAGTGTCATTGTCTCCATTGGCTGGAACATCACAAAAGAGCCAGAGGTGGACATCAGATGATCCAGGTGTGGACACTCACTCAGCCTCTGAGCTTCTATTTTCTCTGTTCTCCACCAGACTCTCAAATTAGTGAAAGAAGACAAAGATATGAAGGGCCAGGGAAATATGATTCACCCTTAGCCCAGGTGGTTATAAAGTGTGTTCAGAAGTATACACAGGCAGGATGAATGAGACAGAACAGTAGAGGTCAAGAGGCTGGCATGAAGAGTGAGGACCCTGGCCAGTAGCATGTTTGGTTAAACTCAGACAAAAGGGGCCCCTTCCTGCTCCCTCTACCCCTGAGACAGCCCTCCTGTCACATTCCCTACACCACCCCAGGGTAAGAAGATTGCAGGCCAAGGGAACATATGGACAAGACCACACCCTGGGTATCTGGGGCCTCATACAGGTGTGAGTGAAGCGCCTCACGGTGTGGGAAGGAGCCAGAGGTAACAAGTTGGGGATGGGCTGGAGGCCGTGTTCATCCAGATCCTCTGAGAAGCAAGTATCAAAACAGGATGAAACAGTGAAGGATTGTGTTAAGGAAGGCGCCTGTGTGGAGAGGAAGAAGGACAAAGCCAGAAACAGCTGGAAGAGCCAGAAGGCCAAGTTGTTCTGAACCCAAAGGTTGAGTGGGAGTATCCTAAACTGTTTTTACATAATGGAAGGAAGCTTCAGCAGGGTTGTCAGGGTATGCTTGAGCCAAAGCTAGTCATTAGATGAGCCACAAGTCTCCAAGAATGGGTGGCCTTTATACCTCTGCTGCAGGGAACAGCCCAGGGGAGGCATGGCCTCAGCCCAACCGCAAAGATGGATTTTGAAGCTCAGTGCAGGGCACCTAGCCAGTTCCACTCCCTGGAACAAGAGGTCTGTGAGTAGAACATTCTCACTGTAGCCACAGCTGGACGTAGACCAGCTTTTGCCACCTGTGGCCTCCAATGTAGGACTCTAAGGAGTCCAAGAATTTTCATTCAAACTTGACCTTACAGGTTATTATAAAAAAATTTTCAAGGTCAACAACAAAACGTATTTTACCAAATGTTTGTTAGTTTGCTTTATGACTTTTAAATATTAATCCATATGGTATGTGTGCCTTCATGTATATTTTCACCCCGATCCCACAGACATTCATGCTGAGCTCTTTGAACCTTTGCCCAACCTCCCTGCCAGCCCTGTACCAACTCCCCCAGAGACCTCTCAGTTAACCTTCCCTGTCTACCTCTGAGTCATCACCTTTAGGTTAGAAGGGCTGGCTTAACAGGCTTCACAGTGCAGACATAGAAACTGAGGCCCAGAGAGGAAGAGTGACTTGCTGGGATAGTTCAGGACCCCTGTTAACAGTCCATGCTCTTCTTGCATTCTACTTCAGCCTCTGACTCTTACCCTGGCCTACCCAATTCTGACCCTTTCACTCACATTTAAAGGTGGGCCAAGAAAAGTCCTATTTTATGGTAACTAAGCTGCCCAAGGGGTTTGCCTTTGACTGCTCCAGGCACTCTCCCTGGGGCAGCCGTGACAGTGAGTATGACAGGCCAAACTTCTGGAAAGGCTGGCTGAGAGTCTGAGATGGTTGCCCTCTGGCCTGGTCTGAAGGATGAAGATTGACCACCCTTCCCAACACCTTACTTTCAGCCCAGTGAAACTGATCTTAGACTTCTGGCCTTCAGAACTGTGAGAGGATAGAAGCTTATTGCTACAAACCACCCACTTTGTAGTAATTTGTTACTGCAGCTCAAGAGGTGAACACAAACCCTGAACTTCATCTGACTGTCTGCTTCCAAAGAATCCAACTTGTAGTACCCCCAACTTCAGTTTGTTGTGATGGATTCAAAAGTCAGACACTTCATGAGGGAGAATGTTAGTGTCTGTACCCAGGGTTGAGAGTTGGCTGGTTCCATTCCTCCTCTGCATCACTTAAGACTCTATGGGAGGTCTCACCTTGACCAAAAGCTTTTACTGACAGTACAAGCTCCCACAAGCCCTTTCTGAATCCCATGTTGGTACTCCTGAGCCACAGGTCTGTGCCCCAGACCTTGAGGCTAATCCCAAGGAGTAATCCAGAGAGCTCTGTGTCCCACTTTCCCATCAAGCTGGGAGATCCCTGAGGATGGCAGCGGGGGAAGGGGCTCTGTATTCTCATAACAACCAGCACAGGGCTGGCTACAGAGCAGGTGCTGGGAAACTGTTCTTTCCGAGGAGAATGTTTGTGTTCTTCAAATGTTTTTGCTTGCTGTTTTTCACACACCACGTGCTATAAGCCGAATGTTCCTGTCTCCTTAAATTCATATATTGAAGTGTGAACCCTTAAGGTGAGGGTATTAGAAAGGGGAGCTTTTGAGAGGTGATTAGATCCTGAGAGCGGCGCCCTAATGAATGGGATTCATGCTCTTTTAAAAGAAACCCCAGAAAGCTCCCTGGCCCTTTCTTCCCTGTGGGGACACATGGAGATGGTACAGGCTATGAACCAGGAAGTGGGCCCTCACAAGGTTCTGAGTCTGTCAGTGCCTTGGTCTTGGACTGCCAGCTTCCAGAACTATTAGAAATACATGTGTGTTGCTTATAAGCCACCCAGTCTATCACATTTTGTTATAATAGCCCAAACACACTAACACACCATGTTGACCATGTACAGGGTGGGGCAAAAGTAGATTTATAGTTGTGAGTATGTAAAACATAGAGTTTGTTCTTGGATTATTCATTAAACATTGTATTATGTTCCATATGAACAACTATAAATTTACTTTTGTCCCACTCTGTACAGGACATAGCTACTTCCTCAAGAACAAGTCTTTTCTCTCAATAGTCAGGACACAAGTACGTCAACACTCAAAAGACTTCATCCAGAAAAAAAAATTATCATGGTATATTCTTAGTCCTCTGGTATTGGATTGGCTGCATTAGAGTATTTTTATGAATTTTGCAACCCACTGCCTTTTTTGCCCTCAGGACTAATACATAATTTGTGGGATCCAATGCAATATGAAAATGTGGGGCTTCCTGCCATTAATAATTGCAAAATGGGGACATCAGGGCATTAAACTAAGCACAAGCCCTGTGGGACTACATACATTGCATGACCATGAAGTTGTACCTGGGTGCCTGAGAATACTAATTCTCATTAACATCAGTGTAGAATGTTCTTGGGGTTTACTGAGGTCTTACTTGACCACAACAACCAAGGGGAGTAGGTGTGGGACCAGAGGTGATTTATAAAATATTTAACAATTGTCATGGCAAAGGAACTGACTTATGCGAATGGACCCCATCAGGTGTAGCTACCAGGTGGACATAACTACAATTCTGCAGGTAAGTTCTACTTTTCAAATGAAGAAATTGGTTCAAGTAATTTGCTCAAAGCAACAATTTTTAGGTCTCCTGTTTTCCCAGTCCTCCCCTATAGCATCTGACTTCTGTCTCTAAGAGATTCCATGAGCCTGAACATTTCCCCTAGAGTTATGATAAATACTTTGTTGGATTTGGGGGTGGGGGCATTGGGGAAAGATCTAGAGCTCTGGAAGCATATAGACTTAGTTTCAAATTATTATTCTGCTGGTTGCTGTGTAACCTTGGGCAAGTTGCTTAAACTTTCTGAGCCTCACTTTCTTTATCCATAAAATGCGGAGAAAATTTCACCCTCATGTGGTTATTGCCCTGTTTAAATAATACAATGTCTCTCAAGAGCCTGGAGTATGTGGGCATTCTGTATTTGAAGGCAAATGTAGGAAAAGAGCAGAGGGTCTCCTGGCAGAAAGGGCTCTTCACACAGCCAAGGAAATTTGCTGTAGCCTCTTGGGAGGGACCTAGGTCCCTGCCCCAAGCCAATACTACCCCAGCCCATAGAAACCCCCAGAATGTTGCAGGCTGCTAGACAGCCTGACTTGGGCCATTTTTTTCTTCCCTCCTGCTATCTAGACTCTAGGTTGACTACACTTTCCTCCCCAGCCAGGCCTTCCACCAGGCTCAGAAAGGAACCCTTCTCAACCAGGTAGTGTCGAGGGCATTGGGAAGTCCATCTGTGCTCAGTATTGGAGAGAAATGAGGAAATTACATTGGCCCATTGAAAGCTCACTGTCCATTGGTGGTAATGTGGCTTTTCTGCCCACTCTAGGCCTGTTGCCCACATGTATTGACATATCTGTGTTCACATGCATGCAAGTATACTCTGGTCTGCCCACAGCTCTTTATGGCATTAAGAACAGTTGCAGTTGTAAGCTGTGTAAGATGGTCAACTCTCAGGCAGCGGCCCCGTATTTGCAGATTTAATAACCCTCTAAGAAGGCAACTTAGAGAAAGTAGTCATCAGCAAAGGGCAACTGGGAAACCAATTCAAGTGGCCCACCCATTGGAGCTCTTTGTAGAAGTAGGCAAGGACAGGGAGAACCCCATAGTTACATAGTTACAAGTAAGAAGAGAAGAAAGGAAAAAATGAACACTGTGGTGTTAAACTAGAACTGGAGGTATCACTCTGCACTTCGGACATAGCACTAGGGTTACCAGGGCATAGTTTCAGGCCTGAGCTATGACTATAGAATCAGTATGGCAATACAGAGGGAGCAGCGGCTCTGGAAGCAAACATGTCTGCCTTCAGATCCTGTGCTAGCCCTTCTTGCAAAAATCTGTACACCAAAGTTAGTTAATCGTAGCATTGTTTGCAATTGCAAATACTGGAAACAACCTAAATGCTCATACATAGCAGAGTGGCTGAATAAACATATTCACACACTGGATGCAACTCTATATATAAATGAGGAAGATTTCTATGAACTGACATGGATTTGCAGGATATACTGCTAAGTGAGAAAAAAAAGACCAAAGTACACAAGGGTATTTATAGGATGTTACTTTTCATGTAAGAAAGAAAGCAGTAAGAAAACGTTCATGTATCTGCTCACTTGTGGGTGTGTGTGTGTGTGTGTGTGTGTGTATAAAAAATCACTCTAACT